GGGAAATAGCAAGTTTCAGCTTTGTGGGATTTTCTTGATTCAGGGTGCATCTCCTTTAATTACCCGAAGAAAAGAGTTTACATGGAATTCTTCTTTCTGTTCCTAGAATGGAAAGTCCCTTAGCATCAGGAAGATGCACAACAGAAACTGCAGTCCTTGTGTCTGCTTTTATTCCTTTCATTCTCTTGTTTGTTTTGCCATATTGTTGAAAGAACTCTAATGGTGGTGCCTGGGCTCTGGTTTTTGTAACATCATATGGCTAGTTTTTTCCCTTTCTTTCCCAGTGACTTAAAATAAGTTTAGCAATTTCTTTTCAGTAGTTGCACTTTGCAGCAGTAAGAAACTCAGATGCAAAGGAAGAAAAATAAAACTATGAAAGTAAAATTTAGCTGCCTGCCAGAATTAGGAGCATGTCTAACCAGCCTAAACAGTTGCCATCTATTTAAAAAGCATTTTTATGTCTGAACCCAGACTGAGAGAGGTATCAGGTTCCTTGCATTAAAAATTAGCCTTCCTTGGAATGAAGTTGGTGCTTTCCCTATTATAGTTCTATGTGCTCTGTCCATAACTATTCTCATACTCAGATCTTTTATATCAGGGTCAGGCATACAGCCTGCTTCCTGGATTCAGCCTGCAGCACCACTTCATCCAGCTTCCTGGGCTACTGGTTGCCCCTGGAATTTGGGGTTGTGACCTGACACTGAATCTGGGTCCCTTTGGCCCCAATGGATACGGGCATCAGCAGCAGGAGGGTGAACAAGGGCTGATACAGGCCCAGTCACCTTCTGATTCCTTCCCCTGTCACCACGGTCACAGAATCATTCCTTAGCTGCCGGCCCCACCCTGTGCCTCATGCCAGAGCTAGAGCTGCCACTATAGCACAGCAGCTTCCGCTCTGGTATGGATCGTGTATCAGGAACTGGGAATGCACCATATGCCAGAGCCAGAGCTGCTAGTGCATATATGCCCCTTGTTAGAGGAGGAGCTGCAGCCACCACATGTCTTGAGTTGGATCCAACCTGCAAGAAGCCCCACAATTTGGATCTGGCCTGGGGCACAAGGTGAGTTTGACACTTTGACACCTGTGTTTCATGACAAAGTCTATGAAGACTTACTTGAGGGCTGGTGCTGTGGGTGGGTCGATTCCACACCCCTTTCCCTGCCAGAAAATAGTTCCTCAGCTTCAGGATGTTATGAATCCTGTAACAGAGCCTTTAAACTGTTTCACGTTTATTGCCCTGATTTGCATAATAATCTGTCCCAGTTCAAAGCTTATTCACAATAGTGTGCATGCCTGGATGTAGGAGAGAAACTGAAAGACATGGATTCTGGCACACTTACAAGCCAGAATAGTGGAGGGATTTTTTTTTTTAAACTCAAGTTGTGCCTGCTTTCAGTTCCATTAACCAAGGTAACTATTAGGTCTGTGCAATGTGGCCAGTATTCGATTTGGATTTAGATTCGGCCAATTTGGGGGACAGTGATTTGATTTGGTGATTTGGATCACTGTCCTGAATTGATTTGGCCGAATCAGATTTGAAAGATTTGGTGCTGATTCAGTGATTTGACCATAGACTATAATGGGGAATCACTAAAATACCTATAAATTTGTCTTTTTTTTTTTGCAGAATTGATGAAAACAGCAGGGATGGTAGCCCCTTCTGAGGGCATGAAGCCTGCCAAGTTTCAAGGAGATAGGTGCAGGGGTTTCTGTGAAATGGTACCTCAAACTGTTGAAAGCAAAACTTGTGTCACTTGTGTATGTGTAGGCAGAGCAGGATGAAAACAGCAGGGATGGTACCCTGTAACAGGGGGCCTTCTCGGTGCCAGTTAGATCTCGGCCTGCCCACCTGTTTCTGGGCCAACTGCCCATCCCTCTTTACCTGCCATGCCTTGATGGAAAACTGATTCAGATGTTACCCAGGTAGGAGGTTGCCCATTTAGGCCCCTGACATCTGGGGGTGACATCCATCCTGCAGCTCTGTACCTCCCCTACACTGCAGCCCATGCCTTGCAGATAGCATCCCAGGCAGGGACAGGTACCACTCCCACCTCCTTGCTCCCCTGGCAAAAGAATACTCGTCGCTGCTAGGAAAGAGGGTGCGTCTATGTTTGGGGGAGGTGGGGGGAACTTGCAGCTCTCCCCCTACCTTCTCTAACCCATCTCCTTCCTCCTGCCAGAAGACCTGGCACATGCCTTCCCAGCATGCTTCAAAATGTTTGCTGTCCTGGAAAGTGTGTGTGTGTGTGTGATATATCTTGTATCTCTTTAATATGTATGTGTGTGTGTGTGTGTGTGTGTGTGTCTGTAATATATGTGCTTCCCTGTACAGTGATGGATGACAAACTGTCAGGGAAAACACAAGTTTCTTTTTAAAAAGTGTGGCGGGGAAAAATACGAACTAATAAGAGGATTTTGGGGGAAGAACAAGTTGAAAGGAATGGATTGGATAGGAGTAAGTAGAGGGATTCTAGGCAAGAGTAATTAGTAAGGTGTATCCAATTCCTTTCCAAGAAGAAAGATGAGCAAGAGACTGATCAGGAAGCCAGTACCTTTGATACACTGTTGCTTCCAGACAGACATCACAAAAGGAAGAGAGAGATTTCACACAGAGCCTTATATGCTGTTTCTACGTCCCTCCCCCAGAGCACAGTGATTGGAAGAGAACTCAGGGAAAGATCAGAGTAACTGACCAGCTACAGATATCAATATTAGAGTAGTCTTTCTCCCCCTTCCTCTTGGTTTCTGTTTCCCCACAAGACTGCCTTGTGAATCGCCAAATCTTTTCCAAATCTTTCCCGAATTGATTCAGATGCTTTGAATCGATTCGGAGCTTTTAATGGGTCTCCTTATTCGATTTGAATTCGATGGTTCAGCCACCGAACCAGGCCACATGGCAATTGGCAGCCCTACTTGCTCTCCAGCCACTTTGTCCATCACCATTGCTGCAGCCCCATTGCCATGCCATGCTGGAGCTGCCTCTACCATGTGCCCTGTACTAGAGCTAGAGCTAGAGCTGCTGCCAGACCATGGGGTGCACCATGGCAGCAGAAACTTCAGCTTTGGCATGGGGCATGTATCAGAAGCTGACGCTGCACTGTGTGCCCTGTGCCAGAGCTGGAGCTACTGGAACCACTGCTCTAACTTAAAAGCTACTCTTGGCATTAATGACAACAGGAAGTCTAGAGAAAAACGAGCTTGTGGATATATTTATTTATTATTTCTTTTCTACCTGTGTTGTTGCTGTTTTATAATCCCTGAGAACAAACAAAAGGGTTGGCTGTGGTTTAAGATGCTTTGATTTTTGCACATTTTATAAATCAGAAATTTTGTAAGAGTTTTATCCACATTTAGGTTCAGTATTTTTATTGGTATGTTGCTTTATCCTGCATTAAGACCAGTTAATGAAGGTACCAACAGACGAGTCAGTAACAGTAAGCCATTGATTTAAGTGAAGCTTTGCATAGATGTAAGACCTGGCCTGTATGAGGTAGCTTGCAGGACTGACTTTTAAAGTGTCTGAACTCAGAAACAGGAGATCCTTAAGAATGTGGTTATCAGCAACATCAAGCTGAAAATAATTTCTTAGGCCAGGTACAGACATTACACTTTTACTGGTATAAATGATTGGAAACCAGTCTGTATCCATAACAGAACAGATATTCAGCACATGTGGACTAATTTAAAAATGGTGGAACCTGGTTTAAGATTTGTGCCTCCCCTCCCCCACCAAAGGTGAATGTGTGTTCTGTTTGCTACTGATCTAAACTACACTGCTTACAGAAAACCAGATGATTTAGATCAATTCCAGCTTGGGCTTTTTGAATGTCTGTAACCAGCTTCAGGGCAGTAGGAGGGAGCATTATTATTTTTGGTTTAATATAATTACTGGGTTATTATTTTTTGTTTATAAGATGTTGGCCCAATTCCCATCTGGTGTAAATCCATGCAGTTCCATGTACCTTAAAATTGTTATCAGTCTTTCATGCAAGGGAAAAGCATAAACAGCTTATGAGGTAAATCATGTTACTTGTGGCAGTACAGATATTCTGGGCCACTGGCTGTTGGTGACACTCTTCTCAATTATTTAATTGAGAAGACAAAAATCATTTGAAAAATATCTGCTATATAGGGACAATACATGACATTTACAAGGGTGTAGGTTGTAGCCATGTTGGTCTAAGGACATCAGCTTTGGGTGAAACTGATATCTTTTATTAGACCAACTTAAATTGTTGGAAAACAATTATTAAGCAAGTTTTTGGGTTCAAAAACCCTTCGTCAGGCTAAGGAAGTTTCAGCAGTTAGCCTGACGAAGGGTTTTTGAAA